TCTTTACCCCACATCCAGTGCTCTTACTGATGCTGCACTAAGGAGAATGTCCATTTGAATTTATAAATAAGCCCAGATTTACATAGGATACATTCTACAAAATATGTGAAAAGGTGTGACCATTGCTTGGCAGAATGAAGCACTCCTTCCCTCTCGAATGCTGTCCTGAGAGAGAAGGAGTCTGCGAGATGAAAACAAAAGTTGCCCGATACACGCACCCCTGAAATATGCTTCTTTTTCAGAGCACAAATAAAACTTCCTATTTTTCATTATAACCTAGTATGGCTTGCCTCTCTGTTTATTCCGACCCATCTAAATATATGCCTTTTTTTCAAGGTTTCATTTCTCACCTTTGAAACAACCCTCTAATGTCAGACCACATTTTAAACCCAATAAAAAATAAATCAGAGAAAAGTAAAACTCTTTGAAAGTCATTTCCCTCTACCTTAGTGCTTGCTTTAGTCTTGGTTGAAAACCAAGCCCAGAGCATTTAAAACAAGATTTATGAATCAGGCTCTTCAGGATGAATGTTTTGCAATGCGCCAGTGGTTAAACATTAACTCTGACAGGTGTAGAAGGGCAGGAGGGAGAAAGAGTCATTTATTTTCCACTCTGGGCTTGAGGGTGCAATATTAGACTTCAATGATGCTGCATTAATATTTCTGAATATATCCATGAAATCTGAAATATGTAAATACACTTATAGTAGGTTTCATTCAGAGCTGCCCTGTGTTAAATGGTCCTGTTTGTACCTTAGCTGCCCTATAGAAATCTGCTTTAGCTATACCTAAGTATCAAGGGTAAACATAGCACATAATGAGTCAAGAAAACCTGCTGTTCAGCTTTACGTACTCTGAAGACTTTTAGGAACAAAGGGAACAGCAGACTACCCAAGTTCTGAGAAGTCAGTGACTCTGTGTTTAACCTTTCAAACCTTAGTTTCCCTCCAAATAGGGGAGATGCTTGCTTCACAGGTTTGCTGGATGCACTAAATGAGTGGGTATGCCAAAGTTCTTTGAAAGTTGGTTAGTCTGTCAAAGAATTTTTAAAATTCATGCGGATGATTGTTATCCTTTGCTTAGCTCTATGCTAGGAGGAGCTTAACAGGAGAAGAAGGCTTTGTCCTTGAGGAATGTAACTGAGCAGAGGAAAGTAACAGGAAGAACTACGGAATAGTTAAGTTGAAGAGGACAAGGTCTTAAAGGCATAAGCCTATGGAATGGGTTGATCACTGCACATCCAACAGGGAGAAGACCTTCCTGTGAAATGAAGTAGATGGCACTGTTTGGGGCTGCTGTGTACAGTTGTGCATTTTGTACACCGCACAGAGGCACGTGGCAGGGGGAGGTGCTACTGAAATCCAGGCCCCCTCCACTCACCAAGCTGCACACATGGGAAGGGGCATGATACTAAGTAAGGTACCTTCCTCCCTCCAAGCAATGCACCCACGGAGCAGGACCTGACCAGTGAATGTGTCGTTTGCAGATTAGCAGTGAAGCCTGAGCAGGCATCTAGAGGCCTGGCTCCGCAGGCTGGCAATGGGGCTCGGGGGGCGGGGGAAGGGCCTGACGGGAATGAGGAGCTGGAGCTGCAGAAGGGGGCCCCCTCCAGTAGGTCCTTAAAAACCAGAGTTGAGCAATGGTAGAGACAGGCTATAGGGTCATGACTTTCAGTACTTGTCACCTCATTTATATCTCACAACAACCCCAGGAGAGAAGCACTGTTCCCATTTCGCAGACTAGAAAACAGTTTGGAAAGGTTGAGTTACTTGATATGAACTCGGCAAATAAGCAGCCAAGAGCTGATTTAAACCCAGATCTATTTGAGACTCACTGTTCTTACCAGCGCATGATGGATGGAGTGACTCTGAGTTTTATCCCCCACAGCTATAAAAATTGCACTGGGGCTCTTTACTATAGGTGATCCATACTGGAAACTTCAGAGGACTTAAAAGCAGCCCCGTTCCTCATGAAGGTTCCCCAAACCCAGGAAGCAGGTGCAGTGCTGAGCCCCAGGCTGGAGTCTGGGACTGGGTTTCTCCCGCAGGTGACCTCCTCCACCAGGTGACCTGGTTCTGGCACACACAGTTTGGTTAGCACCACGTGACCTCTCAACCTCTGAGGGGCGCTTCAGTCTCCTTATGAGCAGAGAAGAGCTGGGCAATGCTTTCAACTCTACAATGATGCTTTTTATGACACTGTCATTTAAAACATTTACTACTTCTTAAAGTCTACTGTATCAAGCCATTCTTTTTGTATTTTGCAATTTATTTTGACTAAACCTTTGAAACTCGAATTCCTCTTCCCCTTTCCAAACTGTACCAATTCTTCAAAGCCCATTTCAGTCCCATTTTTTTTCTCTAAGCCTTTTCTGTCTTCTCAATTACCCTACAAAGTCACCCATCACCATCTCTAAAATTCTTTTCATATTTAGGGTAAGCACCCTCCCACCTAGTACTTACTGTGTGCTAATGGTCTTATTTGAATTGACACATTGCCTCTAACATCAGTTTTGCCTATCATTTCAAGCACTACCAGGTAAAAACTATGAAAGATATCTATCCCATAATAGCCTTGCTTCCCTGTCTCCCCCCCGCAAATCATTCAAGTACTCATTTCTATTCACAACAATAAAGTCATTGCAAATGAATGATTTATGACTTCACCGGAGATGCAACGGTGTTGTGCTTCCAGAGCCCTCTGGTAATAGCACATGATGGGGCAATGATGAAGGAGTCTAGGAAGATGTCGGATCCCAACCAGGCCTAAGAAATCATTTCTCTAACCAAGAGTGCCCTGCCAATCATTTCACGAAGCCATTCCTGAATACAAAGGTGTTCAGGATGAGGACCTTCTTCCTGAGGTACTTAGTACGTTTCCACAAGTCAGACACACTGAAGCATTTATTTTATTCCAAAGGGCCTATACATTCTTCAGAGTAGCCAAGAGATACCACACAAAGGGAAAAATGGCTCAAACTAGCATTTAGAGATGACTCAGATTCAATTTTCTTGAAGAGGCTGCATGAATCTTGGGATGGTCTAGGAAACGGTCAATGCACTGTTTACCATTCAACATGGCTGACAGGACTAACCCACCTTTGAAACTGGCACACCAGTTTCTCAGAAGAAGAATGCAGCAGGGTCTATGACCTAGCAGGTGGTCTTAAGTGCGCATAGTGAAAATGGATGAACGTCAATTTTTTTTTTGATGGAATTAGGCTGAAACTGATAAGGACATTTAACCAGTTTACACCAGTCAGACAAATTAAACTCCAACACAGATTCTCCCTGGTGTGTAGCAGAAATTCTCAAAAACTCCATGATAAATTCGTTGGTTATCTATCAAACCCTGTCTGGTTTTTAAGCTTCCATGTCTCCCTGTCTCCAGAAGGGTGGGCACTGAGAAGACAGGGACCACCCTCAGCCCTTTACTGCAAGCAGGGCTCAGCTGTCCCTAGTCTCTGAGACAGACCTCCACACCACACATGCCACAAGGAAGTGGGAGGCAGGGCTCCGCCCTTTAGACCAGGGGCCTGTTTTGTTGTTACTAGTCTTCCTTCCCCACCTGTGTCTTTAGTCTAGGGTGGGGGACAGTCAACAAAGGGCTCAAGTGTCATGTTTCACACCTGCCCCTGTCCCCTCATCACAGGGTACTTTTAACCTACCATTGGATCTTTTCTATTGAGCCCAAAGGCAGCCTCTGAACACCAACACAGAGTTCCCAAATCCATCAACAAATGCACCGAGCAGTCACATGAGATGAAACCTTTTGGCCGCCCCCTGGACTAAAGTCCTAGGCCACTGTTGACAGACTTCTCTGATGCCATTCTCCTACAATTCAGACTGTCCCCACGGAACATCCTGCCTACCATGATTTGGAACATTTGGAACATACCACTCTTGCTTTATGTACTTGTTTCTGCTGCCTCTCTTACCTTTGGATACCATATTCTGGGCCTGTCCATAGGAGCCCTTCCAAATACCTGCACCGTGAGTGGTTGGTTACCTATCCCATCCTGCAACCCACACAGGTAGGTTTTAAGCCTAAGCCCTGCCTCTCTCAGTCTGCCCCATCCAGCTGCACACCACCACGCCCGGCTGTGTAACACCTACAAAAGCATGACGTAATTCCCCATTGCTGAACACAGGGGGTCCCCATTATCTTATACAGAGATAAACAGGGTAGTCTGCATGAGTTACCGATAATAAAAAGTAAATTCAACCTGTTTTATTTTAATTCTAGACGAAATTAAGACTACAAGCAACATCTCTACTGGTCCTGAAACTTCACTGACTGGACCCTAATCTTTATTCTCAATGACCAGCTTCTATTAGCTAACTTTTAACAAGCATATAGGCAAAGTAGGGTTGTTTAGACTTTCCACAGTAGAAGTAAAATACATCAGTTTAAATTAAATCCACTACTAACATGGTCGACATTTCCTGCTTTGTTAAATGGCTAACTGAATGCCAGCCTGCTTTCAAAGAAGTGTCTGGCTTGTTCTAACTTGCTGCAATGAACACCCTAGTTTCATACTGCTTGCATTCTTGAAAATGTTTATTTGGACAGACATTTCTCAGCAGACCTGCTTCCAAAACACACATTCCAAAATACTTCAAATTATATAGTGATTATAAATCCCCTACTTTATAAGTATTAGAAAGAAAAACAAGAATGCCAACTAAAATGAGCTCCATAATTTATGCAACAACTGGAAGCATCAAAGTTGAGGGGAAGGGAGAGCTCCCACAACCCTCATCTAAAACCAAGATTATCCAGAGGTACTGAAATCCAGAGATACTGAAAAATCCACATATACTGAAATCCAGATAATATTTACCATATACACTACCACTCAGCCATTCTTTCTGTAAGTCGCAAGGTAACATTTTATGGATCGCGATTCTACCAGAAACTGATGTTCCTTCAGAGAAGGTCTAAAGCCACCATTCTAAAAAACGAACCAGGAGAGAATTCTAAAAGTTCAAAAAGCATTACCTGGTGCAGGCTGTCGTTCATTCCACTCAGTTGAGATTAAAATTTCTATAACTTTTATGAGGTGTTCAGTATTCTCAGAGCTACAAAAAAAGAGAGTTTTATTAGAGACTTTTTTTTCAAAACAACAAACTCATGTTCACTTATACACATTCAAGTCAATGTGTCTGGTATAAAGGTACACATGCATCTGTGAGCGAGGATCTTCAGAAGAAGCTGAATGATCCATCAGCTTAGGACCACCAACATCACCCCAAAACACACGCTTCTCTCTTTTCACCTTACCTGGCTGCTGGGAATCTGAAAAGCAGAGGGCTGAAAAGTTCAGAGAGTACTCTTGCACTCAGAAGATTCTTGCTGGAGGTTTGAGAGAGCTTGAAGAAATGTTTTAGCAAATACTGAAGCGTAAGCCAATACTGATGAGGTATGTTAGGTGCCCTAATGAGCTTCTTCAACAGCTGGATATATTCTTCAGAGCTCTGTACTTCTACAGAGTTTAAAAAAAAAAAAAAAAGAAAGAAAGAAGAGTTGTTTCTAGATATCAGTGACTAAACACCTAGAACACTTCTGTTCTTCTAGCTACAGAAGAATGAGTCCTTTTAAATGAAGTCATCAGAAGCAGCGACAGGACATTTGTTCTCCTCGTTAGAAAATACATTGTGAGAAAGTAGAAATCTCAAGTCAAATGGAAATGCAAGAAACTCTTGGTGTAAAAAACCACAAGAGGATCAGGGTGTGCTGGCAGAGATCTGCCCTCTACTGAGCAGCTTCGAGTGTGATTGGCTAATTTGGAGGAGCATCAGATAAGCATCACACGTTTTAACTTTGAAGGTTACGAACCACAATTTCCTGTCCCCAAAGCACTTTGAGCATTAGCTCCTAAGCCTGACTCAAGTCCTCTTCCCTCAACACATTTTGTAATGGCCACTCGAGGAAAATGATAAGAACATCCCCAGTCAATGGGTCCTGGTCCCAGGTTCCCTGAATCCAAAGACGGCACTTGGAACACTGTGGCCTTCAGTGACATAGTGAACTTTGTTAATGCTGATAAAAGGTTAACAATTAGCCATTTCAGCATGTGGACAGTCTTCCTAAGCAAATGAGAATCTGGGTCTTCTATTGGATGCCCCGGTAAGGGAGGAAACTGGTGCTAATGGGGAGGGAGGGTGTTGGGGAGGGCGCAGATTCTGACTAATATTTTCTAAAACACCGCTCTTTATATGCAGCATTTAATAGAGTTTACATGCACCTGCACATCTCAATTTATGCGGTCACTGAGGTTTTCAGAACAGAAAACAAACCTTGGGCTAAATAAATCATTTCATTGTAAACGGCTACTGGAATGACAGGATTCGGTAAGTCCACAAGATAGCGTTTGAAAGCGTCTCCTAAAACTTGCACATCGATCATTTCCAAGTCCATGGAGGCGGCATCTGTGACAGAAACATTTTAAAAAGTATTTCAGACATTGTATATATTGGTTGGGCCCATTTTTCTGAATATTTGACTTAAATGTGACACAAGAAGGGAGGCAACAGGAGGGCAAATATAAAATTCTTGAGTATTTCTTAGCAGTGTTTTTCAAAGGGGTTGCCCCTGGCATTGCAAATAGAACACTTTTTCTTTGTGGAAGTCTGTCCCCTAAGTTCTAAGCATTTCCCATGATGGCTTCTGCCCATGATGCCAGGGGCACGTTCCCAGATGGTGGGGCAACAATAAAAAATCACACCCCCGTTATAAGCTGAATGCGTCCCCCACAAGTCATAGGTTGAAGCCCTAACTCCCACTGTCTCAGAAGGTGAACGTATTTCGAGAGAGGGCCTTTAAGGAGGTGGTTTAGCTAAAATGAGGCCATTAGGGTCGGGCCCTGATCCAACTTGGCTGGTATCCTTCTAAGAAGAGGAAGTGTGGACACATAAAGAGACACCAGGAGCACAAGCACGGAGGGAATGCCTCGTGAGGACTCAGTGGGAAGGTGGCCATCTGTAAGCCAAGGAGAGAGGCCTCACAGGAAACCAAACCTGCCTTGACCTGGGACTTCTAGTCTCAGGAACGGTGAGAAAATAGGTTTGTGTTTGAAGCCACTCAGTCTGTGGAATTTTGTTATGTCAGCCCTAGCACACTAAAGTAGCCCCCCGAACATACCTTCTGGAGGGTGGTTCTGCTCTGACTGAGAAAGGCTCTGTCTAGGGATGGCTAATCATTTAGTAAATGCTTCCTAAAACCTCAACAGGAAAACATGAAATGCAAATCCAGATATTGCCTAAATTTTGAGTTGCTGAATACTGCATCTCAGAATTCATACAAATTTAGCTCAAGAGAGTGAATAAACAGTAAGATATACAGAATTTTAACAGTCGGTCTCAAAAATAGCCATAAAAATATTTTTAACATTTTTAGAATGTTTCCCCCTGATTCTGACAGGGGATTCTAATTAGGATACAACTAGTCTAACCTGTGGGCACTGAACTAGCTCCTAAGAAAGAGGAGCACATCTGTCTAGTAAACCCTTCAGCCAGAAAAGAGGTCAGGCAATTCAATAACGGGGTGATACTAATCCAAACCACGCTCTGAGGACTCAGGGTAGAAAAAGGCACAGTGTCCGGCAGAAAGAGGGGCTGCTGGGGCAGGAAGGGCCACGGGCATCTACATACAGGAGTGGCATCTGGCCACTGCTGAAGGACGCGCACCAGTGACGTGAAGGCCAACCTGAAGATTATCTGGAGCCTTGTGTACTCAGGGGAGACGAGGTGAGCTGATGGATGAAATGCTATAGTTTTCAACAGCTTTATTCTTTTTAGTGTTAAAAATTAGCTGGAGGGGCGCCTGGGTGGCTCAGTCGTTAAGCGTCTGCCTTCGGCTCGGGTTGTGGTCCCAGGGTCCTGGGATCGAGCCCCGCATCGGGCTCCCTGCTCAGCTGGAGGCCTGCTTCTCCCTCTCCCACTCCCCCTGCTCGTGTTTCCTCTCTCACTGTCTCTCTCTGTCAAATAAATAAATAAAATCTTTAAAAAAAAAAATTAGCTGGAAAAGAGCGCTGCTGGAAGTGAAGGGAACACTTCTGGGAATTTGAACTGCAGTGTTAGAGATGGGTGAGGCATTATCAAGAACTGACATAACTTGGTGACTGACTGGATCAGGTGGTGGCCTGGGAGAGGAGGAACCTGTGTCCTCCAAGGTGTGGGAGTTGGAGGAGGAAAAGGTGGCGTCCTGGATGGCCACAGAGCGAGTGTGATACTATCAATCACTCCAGGTTCAACGTGAAGTTACAAAAGTTCCTGGGACACATCGTTATCATAAACCAAACCCGCCCCGCTAATGAGGCAGACCTTACTTAAGAATCACACAACACCAATAAGCTCAGGAAAGTTCATCTGGTAGAGAATGTGCCTAGGTGAGCTGGAGGAGAAGAATTACTAAACTCAGTCAGTGGAGGGGCACACGGTTGTGCCCCAGAGAGCGAACGGCACATGCCACATCTCCAACAGGGCTGGGAGAGGCAGTGCCCGGTCTGTGCACAAAGGACCCACGTGAGAAGTAAGGCAACTACCAGTGTGCCTGTCAATGAAACCTGTGTGTGCACCACGCGAGCAACATGCCACAGCCACTGACCGCCTGACAAGCTGCTGCTCCCCTCCCCCGCCCCCGGACCCTTCATGCCCTGTATGCTTCATTTACTAGGTCTCTTTGCCTGGGGAATTAATATTACCTAATTTGTTCATCGTAAAGAAATTGATAAACCATTTGGTGATTGGTAAAAAAAAAAAATTAAGATGCTCAATATTCCACAGGCCCCTCCCTCGGGCAGGGTTTCTACTGCCTTCCCTGTGCAAGAGCAGTGCTGATGGGCCACATCTCTACCATGACACTTCCCAGACAGTATGGTAATTAGGTGTCTCTCTACTAGACTGAGAGTACCTCAAGGGCACGGACTGTGGCTCTTCCCTGCTCTTCCTGCTTCCCTCAGTGCCCAGCATATAGGAAGTGCTTGCGAAATGTTTGTGGACTGAGCCATAGCATGTCCTCAGAGTAATGTCAATTCACCCAGGCCCTTCTCTTAACACATGAGGTGTGTTCCCAAGAGCCTTAAGCCTTTGAACAAAATCATCTTACTTCAAGCCTTGGGATTAGCCTTTGGATAAGCTCACTTTATGTCAAATCCATTAGTGCTGATGACATAGTATATTGTTTTTTTTAAAGTAGCTTCTAAAGCTCCTTGGAGCTCCTGACTTTTGTTCTGTAAGTCTCCTTTTCCACATTCAAACTATCCTAATGAGCTCTTCCAAGAGCTAAGGACATCTGTCGTGTGATGACTTCTGAGGTTAGCTAGGCAAGAACTCCACAATCTTTAGGTCTAGATAGAGGAGTTTATACTCTCTACACCCCAACTTTTCACTGAGTCTTCTCAAGACAGGTAAACTAGTAAGCTCTTCAGCATGTCACCTTTCCTCCCAAAGGGATGGAGTCTCCTCCCCAGCTCATCTCTACCTAAGTTAGTAGTTCTCAGTCAGCGTTTTCCATTTTACTGCCTCACTCCTACCCCAACCCCTACTCTCAGAAGACATCTGGCAATGTCTGGGGACATTTTTTTTTTTTTTTTTTTTTACAATTCGGGGACCATGCTACTGGCATCTACTGAGTAAAGAACAGGTGTGCTGAGCTGCTAAAGCCTCAGTTTTTAAAGTGAGGTATAACTGACATATAACCCTATCTATCATTGTAACAACAGGATTTGATATTTGTTTATGTCACAAATGATCACCACAGTCAGTCCAGTTAATCTATCACCAGAGTTACAGAATTTCTCTTTCTTGTAATGAGAACTTTTAAAGAAAAGGCCTGCTTTGGGTTAAGAGAAACCAAAAAAAAAATCAGGAGAAAATTCAAATGAGAACAACAAAGATTAATTCACTTTACGTCAATACAGCAGGGAAAAAAGGAGTAAGACAAATTTGGGTGTAAGTCCCAGCTTTGCCTTCAGCAGTGACGGATACTGCTATCCCAGGGGTACTATGGAAATGAAACTAACTAACTTAGGAGGGTGCTAATAAAAGTGTGATGCTGTCTTCCACATCCATCCTTTTCAGACATTGGTAATTCACAGGGTTGGTTAAAAGTTATGAATTCTTTTCTCTTTTTTATTTTATTTTTTTAAGTGTAAGTGACTTTTCTCTGAGCTTCCTCCAAGGTATTACAATATTTTTATGGACTAAGAAATCCTCAAGCTATGAAAAGTCCTGGAGGACCCACTCCTAAATTTAGATGTTTACTTTTTTTCTTCTCACAAAATTCACTTTTATCACACAGAATCCACAAGAAACCAGTCTTCTACGTGTGTGTTTTCATCACAAGTGGCGAAGAAAAGCTGTCTATCAAAATACATTGCTGACGTTATTTTTGGTTAGTTATTCCATCTCAGAGGTGATGTGAAGATTTTTTTTTTCTAAAGCTAAAGTGCATCATTTGTATTCAGTCACATTTAAAAGCTTAACCACTATTTCTCAAATAACTCTCATCTCATCGGTCTCTGATGTCTAAACATTTCCTGTGACTGTTGTTCAGTTTGACCAATTTTCTGACCAAAACATGTATCTCAATTTCAACTGGCCGAGAACAAAACTCAGTTTCCTTACCACTCTGGTCAGGCTGTGAGAAGTAAAGGACAAGTGTTTCACTGTGAGTTTTCTGCCAGTCAGCTCCTACTGACCTACTCTGGGGGTAAGGCAGGAGACCCAGCTGCCAGGGCACATGCCCTGCACATGTGGGAGGCTGGCTTCCATGCACAAAATAAAAATGAAAGTTTGAAAAATTTTTTTTTTCAAACCTCAAACATTTGGGTGGTGCATTTCAGGTGAAACTGTTTACTGATATAGAATCTTTTTTTCCCAGAAACATCTTTTCTAGAAATTGTCATGAGCTGCCTCAACTTCACATTTTCATTTACTACTTTCTTTGCACAAGTAACCTGTCTAGAAGAGCTTCTTCCCAAACTAGGTTTCATTCTTTTGGTTTCAGACGTCCAAATTCAATTACAAGACTGTGAGGCAGAGAATGATTTTTCTAAAAGAAAAATTCTGAGAGGGAATGAAGAATCTGAGAGATTCTACAAGGGGCTATGGAAGATGACTTGCTGGAATGATGGTCAGTACATTTATTCACATTTGTAGTTTTATTCCATTTGGCACACTAAGTTGAATTGATGTCATCTAACCAATGGTGTGCTGCAGCTGGCCTGCTCCAAAGGGCCACCTGCGCTCAATTCTTTCCAAGTTGGGAGTTTAGTGATAACACGTTGGCAGCCTGAAACTGACCACAGCGGGCATACTGACACCATGGAAATGGGCAAATGCTAAAAAACCAGGCTTCCTCTGCCTCCGAGAGTTGGGTTTACCAGCACATCACTGAATATAACAGTATCATGATGTTACTTAATATAAACATGGCATGAAAAAGCACATAAGCATGAAAGGAAGGAAGGAAGACCGAGAAAAATAAAAAAAGGAAAGGAAAATGGAAAAGGTCAGAAGAGACATTTGTTAAATGACATAGATTTATAAATATTTTTTAAGCTGATCCAGATGAATCAGAGGTAGCCAACTGCACGGTCAGAGAAAGATGGTCGATAGGCAGAGCCAGAAAAATCCCGAGGGGGTGTTTCTCTCCTCTGCAACTCCTGCAGGACCCAGAGGCTCTTGGTTGTGAGGACAGACCATATGCCTGCAGGCAGGCATGCACACACACCCCAACTCAGGAGACAAACATCAAAGGTCAGCGCGGGTTTGCACTGTTACCATAATAGGGCAGAGGGAACTGTGTGTGATTTCTGAGCTTCCTTCAAACTTAGAACACTGCACGGTTAAGTTCCAGTTTTTGGTGCTTTACCTGAGACCGAAAGGTATGAACCATGTTTCCCATTTGTCTTTCTAGCTCTATGACACTCACCACAATCAAGAAGCTGTCGTAATTCTGCTGGGTTGCTGGAGCTCTGTGTTCTGTATAGAGTTGAACATTCCAGACCTAAGACACAAAACAGACTGAGCATGCAAAACACAGCTCTCTGGAGAACCTGTGAACTTGCTGCCAGAAAGACATTCCAGTTTCCATCCCGTATCTATTCTAGATGTGTACCAAATATTCTTGGAAGTGAACTCCTACTATTAATCTTAGCTGGCATGTCAGTAATTTTGGCAAAGTCATCTGGCCACTAAAGAGCAAGTTAATTATATTTATTAAATTATGGAGAATTTAATAGTTTCCATACAGTAAGTACATGTTAATAGAGTTAGAAATCAAACCAAGGTTATTTCCCCACTACACAGCAACAAAGAGCTTATGTGTCTAGCACAAGTAGCAAGAAACGTATTTAATGAATGCCCAACAGACAACACCCATGAAATAAGAATACAACAAGGTAACGGAGCCCCTCTACCAGTTGATTACCTTTCTTTTCAATGGCTTCCACTAGCTTCATGAGAAGAGGCGGAGCAATGTCGGGAGGGGCAAACTGCTCGGCGAGATCTGGAAGGGCCAAAGCTGCAAATAAACAAAATCCTACAATTATGCTTAATTGGGGTAATCAAATGCATGAGACAACAAGAGAATTTAAATATAAAACAGTGTAGTTCTACTGGACACCGGCAAACTCGGGCCTGAGCAAGACCGAGCCCCGTGCGGGGCCCTGCCCTTCAGAAGACTGCTCTCTGGCCCTCATACGGCTGTGCCCCCTCCTGCGCCTGAAGGTTTGGGGGCCCAGCGGACAGGCCTACTTCTCCCCTGGAACACATTCCGAATACTTCGCTAGAATCCAGGAATTTCCTGCCCAACTGGCCTCTCAGGGCCTCTCACCCAGGTCTACTCTCCCCAGAGCAGACCTCCCTTGGGGGGTGCCACTGGGCCTGGGGCTGGGTGGGCAGGGCTCGGGGGAGGAGGACAGGGCAGAGCCCCTGCAGGGCAAAGCCAGGATGGGTGAATGGTCCACCCCCACCCCGCCCCCACATCACCACACTCTGGGCCAGAACCTGGAACCCAAGAAACCTAAATTCAACTCATTACAAAGGAAAAACTGTCCAGGTAGGAGGATGGGACAGATTTTACTCAACAGTTCATTAACATGATTTATAACTTTAAAATATTTAGGCACAGGGCGCTTGCAAATGATCACTGGCCCCGTGACATTCACTTTAAGCCCCTGTGTACCTGCCACCCAAGTTTCATTTGCTGACATGCATTTTGGTCACTTAATATCTTAAGAAATGTGATGCTTTCGCCAACGGTATTTCCATGCTTTCTCTCCGTGTTTTACCAATTGCAGTGATACAAGAAGAGACTAATTGGCTGACATACAAATCATGGCCTTCCGTGGTACATTTATAACTGTAGTCTCACTCCAAAAATACACGAAACCATTTTAAGTAAAAATATCCATCTCATAATACACCAGAAGAGGGAGCTAAATATATTCACCTCACTTCTCTCCAACTGCAAAATACACCTAAGGGAGAGTCTATAATGAAAATATCTACAGGTGCAACCTTTTCATTAGCCACCAACACGTAACTTTTTCCCATTTAAGGTTCATTACTGTGCACTCTTACCTAGGAATAGACAGTTTATATAATTTAAGAAAGAGTCAATATTTATACGTTAGTTTCAGTGAGATTTTAGTGGTATGATTCAAGGCATTTTATTATGTTAAGCAGATTTCTAATGAAGCCCACCTTCCTAATACTAAGAGTCATCACAGAAGAAGAAATTCACGATATAAAAGTCAACCTCAGAGAATGAAGTATGATTTATGTCACTTTACAAACCCTAAACCCCATGGTCTAAGAGCCTTTTAGATTGCAGTATGCCCTGGGAGAGACAGACACATGTGATCTTGCCACCTAACCCAACTGGTCATTCAGGTCCCCAGGATAAAAGGAGAAGAGCTAGATGAATAAAGAAAATCGCACAGCAGCACTGTCCACTAGAACTTTCTGTGATGATGGAAATGCTCTATTAACTGTGCTATCCAAGAAAAGCAGTGACTGGCCAACTAGCCACATGTGGCTACGGAGCAGGAGAAAGGCAGCCACTGCAGCTGAGCAAAGGAATTGTTTTGATTTAAACTGAAATAGTGGTATGTGCTAGTGGCCACGGTACTGGAGCACACAGTCCCACAGCCTGGGCGAGGATGGATTTTGTCAAGAGCAAACGGAAGATTCCTGAGTTGGTTGTGTGCTACTAAGACCCCACCATAAAGCCATCCCTGGGGACAGAGCTTCTGGACATTGGGTTCATCGACATCTGAGCTCAGGGCATGAAAAGTCTGTCACAGCTTCCCAGGTGACTCTGTCCAACTGCAACATCACCGGAACACGTTATGGACTTCATAAAGGAAGCACAGACATGCCACTGACTTTCTAGACAGTCACGATGCAGAGAGCTGAGTGGGAACTCCATCTCCTCTGTGTTCCCCGTACCTGCCCGAGCCTGTGGAGCACCTGGACAACTTGCTAGGAAGACAAATCCCCAGGTACGACCACAAATCCCCGGAATCAGAAAATCCAGGAATGAAGCTGATCATCTATTTTGGGTTAGTACTAAGTTTTAGGACATGCTATGATGATAAGCAAAATCAGGTGGGTAACCCCCTGGAAAAAAAAAAAAAACAGCAACGACATCCCCCAATTCTCTAAATGTCAAAACATGAGTATATCTGAAAAGCACTGAAAATAAAAATGTCTTGCAAGTTTCATGTAGTCTTTTTCATTAAAAGCATTGTAAAATAAAAAAGGATAAAGTGTAAAATGAAAGGGCATACCGTTTCATTTCCTCTGATAAACTACTTCCTTTCGCCTCAGAAGATTATCAGCTCAGAAAAAATGTCCTCCCCTACAAATGCCTTCTACACTGAACAAGCTGATATGTATCATCCTATCAGCATATGTAACAGAGGAAAACAAGGGTAGAGAAATGGTGTAGAGAAATATTAATTAGAATTCACTGCAGTGTTTCTCCTTAGCCTTCTCAAACTTACAGGTCTTACTTGGCACATGCGAAGATACAAAAAGCTAAAGATTAACTAGTAAATACACAATCCCACATGGCAACGCTCATCCAACTAACATGCCCTGTTCCTCTGTGCCCGCCCTCAGAAATTACTCAGGCCTTTTTTTTTTTTTTTTTTAAATTAAAATAATCTTTAAAGTTGGCAACTGGAAATGGAATTACTTAATAAAGGTTTATCTCTTTCCAGAATCTTATCAACACCATCATTTCTGCAGGCAAATTTGAAAGTTAAATTAACTGATAATTAAAGATTTCACCTAATTGCGATTGAAATATGCACCCAGCAGTTGTTTTATGACTGGGTTGGCAAATACTACGTAGAAAAGGGTTTCCATCTCTCTATTTGTTCGCTTTGGCTTGAAGAATAAAAAAGAAAAAAAGTAAAACCTTCTTTCTTTAGTCCTTTCAATGTTTCTGTGGCAAAAAATGGTCGTTTACCTTCAGTATCCTGAGCTACAAAATATCATGTGTTTCACTAAAAAAACGGTTATGTCAAGGGGTACCTGGGTGGCTCAGTTGGTTAAGTGTCCAACTCTTGATCTCAGGGCTGTGAGATCGAGCCCCACCTCAGGCTCTGCACTGGGCATGGAGCCTACTTGGTCTCTCTCTCTCTCTCTCTCTCTCCCTCTGTGCACCCCCACTCTGTTCTAAAATAAATAAAACAAACAAACAAACAAACTGTTACGTCGAGTGTTGGAAAAGCACTGTGATAGCCATCAGGTACCTAGAGCAACGCTGGAACTTTTCTCAGAGCACGCCACAATACAAAGAAGAAAGCTAGATGTACATCAGGAGGGTAAAGGTACTCTTCCTGTAACAGGTCTAGTGAATTTCCCACTGAGTTTTTAATATTGATAAAAGCTGTATTACTCAAATGTCTGAATCATTACAGCTGATTAAGGTTTTGCAATGGGAGTTTTTTAAAAGAGAAATTTTATAAGGAGAAACCTTATTTTTCAAATAACAATTCAGTGAGTTCCTATTCTCTAGTACAAAATCTGTGATCCAATCCATTTCCCCTTTCAAATATTTAAACATAGGGAATATGAAGCCCTACCCAAGAAGTTTTTTTTTTTTTTTTTTAAGATTTTATTTATTTATTTAACAGAGAGAGACACAGCAAGAGAGGGAACACAAGCAGGGGGAGTGGGAAAGGGAGAAGCAGGCTTCCCGCTGAGCAGGGCGCCCGATGCGGGGCTCGATCCCAGGACCCTGGGATCATGACCTGAGCAGAAGGCAGATGCTTAACGACTGAGCCCCCCAGGCGCCCCCCAAGAAGTCTTTAAAATTCACATTTTCTACTTCAGGCAACAGATCAATCGACATCAAAAATCTAAAAAGTATTCTAAAGCAAAATATTAATTATTTCAACAATCCTAAAATCAACTATTCCTCTAATTTTATTAAGTACACAGGCCAATATTTCCTTTTCCATTACATCCCATTTCACGAAATTCCAACAGGAAATTGTGATTGCTAGGCGCTACCATATTTGGCAAGTTGTTCTTTGAAAGGTCCATGATAAAGCACCCATATCATATATTTCAATAAACTAGAACAGTGGAAGTAAAAAAAAAAATACAGGATATACAGATCATACATGATGGTTATCAAACAAAACACAAAATGATACAGCATGTTCCTCATGAAGTTTATATATAAATTCTTACTGGGGTTTCATCTTCCAGACAGATTTTTATACCTGAACGAGGAATCCTTTTTGGCTTTGAAGCCTGCTGTAGCCAGTGTGTACGTCTGGAGAGCCAAGTCCACTCTTAAGAACCTGGATGAATACACAGATCTGCTGACTATAGTCCAACACCAGTTTTTGTTATTTTTAAAAAAATTTATTTATTTATTTTAAAGAGAGAGGAGGGACAGAGGGAGAGGGAGGAGGAGAGAAGCAGACTCCCCACTAAGCCCAGAGCCCGACATGGGGCTCCACCCAAGGCCTGGTCCCACGACCCCGAGATCATGACCTGAGCTGAAATCAAGAGTTGGACACTTAACCGACTGAGCCACCCAGGTGCCCCTGTCCAACACCTGTTTCTGACTTAGTGGGATCAGTTTTCCTCAAAAGAGATCAGTATTACTTAGGGAGAAGGAAGACAAGAAGGGTCTAGAAGTGGTGAAGCCAAGACATACACTGCTTCAGAAGAGGAACGAGTCTTCAACATTGATAGGAACACCAATGAATTCGGTGTCGCTGGTGGCAGAATTTCCGATGACACAACAGATGCTGCATTTTCCATGAGTTCTACTTTTCTACCTTAACCCTGGTGACCAGCAATCACAGGGAACGGGAGAGAGCCTTCTCTCCAAACTGAGACCCTTCCCAAACCACGAACACGGATAGGCCTGAACAGTCCTTGGGCACCAGTGGTGTGTGGGAGACGGTGGGGTTGCTCACAGTAAACGGTGCCAACACCGCTACAAGGTGCAACATGAAACCAGCACACAGCTGCACCTTCTGGAGGCGG